CCATTCATCTGGTGAATAAATTTCTCTTCCTTTGGCTGATTTTTCGATCAGGGCATGCACCGAATCGCCTTCGTTTTGTGTATGTCCCTTCTCCATGAAGCGATGATAAATTTTAATTTTCAGATTAATTGCCGCTAACAAGTACATGTTGTAAACTATCCGGTTACGGTTTTGGCACCCGCAATTATCTGATCATAGATATATTTCAGTAACTCCCTTTGAAGTCAGTTTAGTCAAGAAATCATAAAGACAACTAGAGACTTCATTTGCCCCTCTCCTTGCGGTTTGTTCGTCCCACATGTAACAGAATGCTTCTTTATGCGTTTTGTCATACACAGTAAAATTAAATATGTTAAGCTTTCGTCTGTAATAATAAATACTAATGTTACTATGTGGTGCGTTCAGTACTTTCTGAAAATCAAATACAATACATGTTTTTTTATTATCATTAGTTGTTAGTAATTTATTTTCTAATTTAAGCTTTCGAGAATACACCTTTTCTTTTTGATGAATTGTATATTTTTCGCACTGCTCATCAGTATCTTCAGGTATGTTCTTAAATTGATGGCAGAGGTCACACTGATCCTTTTTCAGAACATTTAATCCTATCTTTATCCGTGTTGGCGGCGTACAGTCGTGCGGTTAGCGCCCGCGCATCCCGAATACACACCGCTAAAACGAGTAGTCGCGGTGTATGTCGCGTGTTTGTCAAAAGTACATTTACTTGGCGTTATGTAATTTTCAAAACTTTTTTTATTTCTTAAAATTTTTTTAAGAAATTTAGGGAGCATAATATTATTACTTTAATGAGTCATTTTCCATTAAACCTGAAAATGAGTAAAAATCAAGTTGGCGTAGTGTTCATTGGAGGTATCGAAATAATAGGTAATCATTTAATTACTATTACTTAGATATAACAATTTAAAATGTATATTGAAGGTGTGTGGAATACAGTTACCCAAATAAAATATATTGTTAGTAGTTTTATATTGGAATAGGAGAGAGGAAGGAATATTTTACGAGCAATTGCAAAAAATGTTGAAATTCATTGATAAGAAATACTCAAAATATAAAGTTATTCTTGGCGGCGATTTTAATACAAACGTCCTTGATAGTAATTCTAACACATCCCAGCTACTAAATACTATGTCTGACTACAACTTATCTCAACATATTAAAGACCCTTACACATTTCACACAAACATCATCAACGTGCTTAGATTTAATATTTACCAATTTTGATAAAAATAAATTACTGACAAAAGTTGAAGTTAGGATTTTGTAACCACGCTGCAACCACCATTCAAATAGAGTCACAATCACAAACTAAACAAATAACTTGGTATACTGACAAACGGTTTTACAATTTAGCTAATATAGAACAATTTTAAACTAAATTTAAAAGAAATTAACTGGCAAATTATATTACGACCTGAAAATAATGCGAATGAAAACTATACTAAATTTCATAATATTTTAACAGATATTTTAAATCAATGCATACCGAAACGTAAAATTAAACTAAAAACCAATAATAAAAAATACTGGCTAACTACTGGCATAAAATAATCTTCAAAAAATAAATGACTCCTAAAAATACTAAGATCAAAAACAAAAAGCAAAGTTCTACATAATTACTATAAAAATATGAAAAAATACTTAAAAAAAAACAGTAAATATCTCAAAAAATTACATTATATACATAAATTAAAAAATTCGTCAAACAATGTGGAGTATTATAAATGAACGTAAAAATAAAAGAAATACGAGAGATAACAACAGCATATCACTAAAAATAAACAATACCATTACCTCGGAGCCAAGCGAAGTTGCAAATGCATTTAATACTTACTATGCGTCCATTGGTGAAAGTAGCCCTCCAACAGCAGCTGGACGTCCTGTCCTGAGCCCGACAGAAATACCTTCTTTCTCAGCCCAGTCGACTTTCACGAAGTAAATAAGATACTAAAAGGCCTAAAAAATAAAACTAGTTTTGGAATAGACGAGCTTCCACCTACTTTACTCAAGCAATGCTCCTCTGAACTTGCTTTACCATTTAGCATTCTCATAAATCAATCGTTTGATGAAGGAATTTTCCCAGACCTACTTAAAAAGGCTATAATAAAACCGATATAAAAAATACGACAAGAGACCCCAGCAACTATCGTCCAATAGCCCTGCTACCTTCACCATCTAAAGTCTTCGAGAAAGTAATGTGCAATCGCGTGTATAACTTCTGTGAAAAGTATAATATTTTTGATAATTGTCAAAATGGATTTCGTAAAAAAAGATCAACAACATTAGCGGTTCACAAATACATTCAGGAAATCCTTACCATAATTAATAATAAAAAAATACGCAATCGGTGTACTATTAGACACGTCCATATGACAGGTCCATAATGATCTCATAGTTTTAAGTTAAAACTTAAAATGTTCTCAACACCTTAACTGTAACATTATGGATACAATAAATAATATGAATATGAATAAGGTCTGGTCTGTTGCGTAGGGTTTTAACGCGTTAAGTTCATTTTGGGGAAGATTTCGGCGCTGTACTTCGATGTAACATAGACGAAATGTCTAGGTGTATGGCCTTTAATCTTCATTACTAATATTATTTTTATACAGACAATCCTCAACACTACAGATAATGTCTTCATACGGGATTCTTCGCTGTGTAATTGCATAGTTAAAGCCTCTTCCTAAAACTTTTATTGTGGCATCGTCCAGAGTTTTTTTTGACGGGTTATAGACCACGCCTTGTTTACTATTCGTGTCTGTAGTCAACGATGTCGTTTCGTTCTTACGTTGCCATTGATATTGGGCATTTGATTTAGTTGTTAATTTTTGATATTTATCAAAAAAAATTTTTTTGCATTGTATTTAGTTGTTTCGCGTTTATCCTAAGTTTCCATGCAATTCTTATAACTTTAAAACTCTAAAATTCAATTTACTATGGAGTTAGAGGCAAATAATTCCTTAGCTTTCCTAGATGTGTTAGTCATCCGAAATCTAAACACCATAGGTCATACTGTGTATAGAAAAAAGACGATATTTAAATGGTGAATCTCACCATCATCCTTCACAGTTAGCTACCGTGGGCAAATCTTTGTTTCAGAGAGCACGAGGGATCTGTGACAGCAAACACCTGACCACCGAGCTTCAGCACGTCAAGCAGGTTCTGCACGACAACAAGCTTCGGGTCCCGCGACGAGCGGAGCGTGTGCCTGCTGTACCACCATATGTCAGAGCTGTCACAGACAAGATTGGCTACATCTTGAAGCGAGCTTCTATTAGAACATTCTACAAACCGCCGAAGAAAATTGGTCAGTTCTTACCATCCGTCGAGTGTCATATTCCTCTACAAGATGCGGGAGTGTACAAGCTTGATTGTGATTGTGGTCTCTCATATATAGGGCAAACAAAGAGATCAATTAGAACCCGCGTAAAAGAACATATAGCTGACGTGAAGCATCAACGTTCCGGGAAGTTTGCAGTTTGCGATCATATCCTACATGGCCCAAACCATCACATCAGATTTGAATAACCACAAATCCTCGCAAAAGAACATCGATTCCTATCACGGATGATACGTGAGGCTATTGAAATTAAAAAACATCCTAATTTCAATAGAGGAGGCTGGGTACTACCTACCACCTGCTTGGGACCCTATAATTAATAAAATTATAACTAAACCCAAGCATACCACTGCAAGACTTTAAAACACAGTTAGTTCATTCTGTGTAGATCGGACCAAAGACAACAATTAAAAAGCTGAAGGTGCTCTGGGTTAACTTTGACATCGGGACATCAGTCACCTCAGTCCCCGTGACCATGGGTGCCCCGAGACGTCGGGTATTATAAATAACATAAATAAACGTTTGAATCAATGTGTCGTGTTCGCGTAAATATAAGAAATCATTGTCCTAGTCTTACGATTCAGACTGATGACATAAAAAACTTTTTGTGATATAAATTTTTATATGATAGGGTGACAAAACGAGCACACAGTCCACCTGATGGTAAGTGGTTGCTGTGGCCCACAGATATCTACATCCATCCTCGATTAGGAATCAAAATTCAGATGCTTTGTCACCCGTGAGGACCAAGATGGAATGCCTCGTTTCCAGTAAAAAGGGTCTCCAGTTCTCTACACTCACCATACAAAACACAGCAGCATTAAGCTTCTATTATATACTGGTATTCTGTGAGAGTTTGGTCCTTTCCTGATCAAGCCGACATATTAGTGCTACAACTATACTACCAATATAACTGCAGCAATCAAACCAACCAACCAAAGCAACTTTATATACATAGTGAAGCCATATACTACGTATATAAGGTTGCTTTGGTGTTAAATATGAAACTAAAGAAACAGAAACAGAAGTAGAAACTTTCAACTATTTTCTACTATTTTTTTTAATTATCACTGGTTCGGAAAAAAACCTCTGTCCTATGAAGAACCATCGAGAAACCCAGCAGGACTTTTTATTAAGATCCATAAATTCCTTAATATTATAATAACCATTTTATACAAACTTAGTCAAATAAAGTTTTTGAACTTTGAGCAGGTCAAATTTTGAACATTTTCTGAGATTTTGTTAAAGGCTGTAACAAATATTGCCATGAGAAATATATCCTATATTTATACATTTTTAAACATCTATACACCTTTCCTGTATAAGATGAAGAACATTTCACTAGGGTATGCTAAATTATTATTTGGTTTAGTTGTTAGTACATAAATTCTTACTAGTTGGAGTTTGGTTTCATTTCTAGCAATTCCATTAATTTTTCATTTATGGTAAGCTTGGCCATTTTCATTTTACAATATTGTTTTAGTTGTGTTAATAATAAACCTTATTTGCTTTTATTTTCCACATATAAAAGTTTTCAAATAGCTCTCTATAATTTGACAGAGGTTAGGCATTAAGCAACTCTTTGTGAGGTCACCTAATGGTTCAGTTCCAATGTTTGCCAAAATTTTAACCAATTTATCTACTTTGATCTCATTTTCTTCACCATGTAACAACCTGAAATGGAATATATAAAAATAATTTAATTTGATATTCCTATTTTATGACTGAATGATAAACAAATTATTATTTTGTGTTCACTTTAATAGCTGGCTGGCTTAATGGCAGTTGGCATTTGCTACCAGACAACCCATGGTGTGGTGAAAATAATGTGACAGATGCCGTAAATAAGTTATAAAATAAATAAATTATTATTATTAATTATTAAATTATAAATATTAACATTGTATACATCCATAAATATATACATATTATAGGCATGCACACATAAATATAATATAACCCAGTTTATCAAATTGCAATAAAGGTACATGATACTAATATATTCATGGCGGAGTTTTTTTTTTATAGAATAAGAATGACAAATGAGCACACAGTCCACCTAATGATAAGTGGATGCTGTGGCCCATAGACATACGGATAAATGTATGTCTATGGGCCACAGCATCAACATCCACGATTAAGAATTAAAATGTAAATTGTTGCCATTCCCGAAGACTATGATCGAATGCCTCGTTTCCAGTAAAAAGGGTCTCCAGTTCCCAGTCTCCAGTACACTCATCATAAAAAACATAGCAGCGTGAAGCTGCTATTTTTCACTGGTATTCTGTGAGAGTGTGGTCCAACTTCAGTCGAGCCCACCCAGTCGTGCTACAACCATAATATAGCTGCAGCATGGCTCTACCACGTTAAAAATTTGGTGTTGATATTTCCAAATAGCGCTCTCAAAGGAATTTTTTGAAAACATTCTTGTTAGGAGCTTTTCAGATGACATTGGGCACAGTTCCAGAGAAGTAAAACCTTAACAGTAAAGGAGTTGCTGATAAAAACAGTGAAGTGTAGTGGAACTATAATCTTTAGATTAGATGACAAACAAGGAACTCAATCAAACTTTAATACCTGTTTTCAAGGAAATTTGAAAACAGGTATTAAAGTTTTGTCCAATTATGTCTAAGGATAAACCTATTTTATTAAAACCTACTACACATTATATTGTTTTGCGGCAGAGCCATGCTGCAGTTATATTAAAAGTATAGTTGTAGCACAAATGAGTTGGCTCGACCAGGGAAGGACCACACTCTCAGAGAATACTAATGTAAAATAGTAGCTTAATGCTGCTGTTTTGTATGGTGAGTGTAGAGAATCGGAGACCCATTTTACTTGAAACGAGACATTCCATCTTAGTCCTTATAGGTGACAACAGTTCTGCATTTTGATTCATAATCGAGGATAGATGTCCATGGGCTATAACAACCACTTACAATGGTGGACTGTGCTTGTGTTTGTTACCCTATCCTATAAAAAAAACCTTTTTGCTTTTTGCCCATTTTCCGTCAAGCTGATGTATGCCTATAATACTACCATTGACTGATGATTTAAAATGAATTCTATTATTTGTATGCTATTTACTAGAATAACAGTGATAAGCCTGTTTAATTATATAGGGAAATAAAGTATGAAAAACTTTAAGATATTAATATTTGTTGCTTATTTGCCCATTTTCTCCTTTCTGGCAACATTTGTCTTATCACATAAACTTTAGAATAAAATCCGGGAAAACAAACAATTTGTGAACGTTAAATTCTCATACCATTCAATTAAGTATATAAAATAAATATCAAATCCTTTTGTATTGTATGTATTAACCCTGTATGACAACTATTTAAAAGTGTTAGTTTTTTTTACGGAATTAGGGTAACAAACGAGCACACAGTCCACTTGATGCTTTGGCCCTTAGACATCTACATTTAACCTTGATTGAGAATCAAAATGCAGATGCGTTGTCACCCCTGAGGACTAAGATGGAATGCCTCGATTCCAGTAAAACGGGTCTCCAGTTTTATACACTCACCATAAAAAACACAGCAGCATAAAGCTGCTATTCTGAATGCTGGTATTCTGTGAGAGCATAGTTCCTCAGTCGAGCCGATCCTTTCATGCTACAACCTGCTGCAGTGTGGCTCTATCACAAATAATTTAGTATAGGCAGATTCAAAAAAGTGATCTATATTTTACAAACCAATGAATTTTGCCAGAACGTCTAATTTCACGGCTTTGCTACTTGCAGTTGGAGGCTGTTGTATGACCACATCTGAAAAATAATAAACATTAACAATATTTAGTGTAAACTTAGTACCTGCTTCATATCACCACTCTCTGCAACTAATGCAGTGCCAGGTATGCAATGTCGCTTACAGTCTGTTTCAATAAAAATATTAAAAATAAAGAGTATTTTTATTTTCTTGCTTGAAAAAAATGATAAAATGTTGTCTAATTTTGAAAATTAGTTAAATAAATATTATTCTAGCTAAGTTGCAATATATGATTTTTTTTTTTTTTCAAATTCAAATTGTTTATTGCATGTCACATTACAAATTTAAGATGGTACAATTTTGATCGGTATACATGTGACGCCCCGCAAGGGCATAGCAACACTAGAGGGCTAACTATTTTCGTATTATCTAATTTTTAAACATAAATTACAAATTATCATATCATCAACATTCAATATTATTTTATATAAATTAATTTAATTTGAAACACAATGAATAGTCTAAGTATTCTTACTTTATCGTTATTTATCGTCAAATGATGTTAGTTTTTAGACATATTTTTTTAATTACCTTGTAGTACTTGTAACTCTTTTAATTTGTTTACTACAAAAATGTATAACAAACTATGTTTAATACAATTTCACATACCGTTTCTATAACAACTGTTTTCTATATCAGTTGTAGCATATATACATTTTTATAACAATTTAAGCAATCACCTTTATAATTGTAACGTTATTCAATATTTACAGAGATAATTTTACTGTGGCCGTAGGGATTTTGTACTATGTAGTGATAATTAAAAATGGATGAAGTCATCAAAAAGTGTAATGTAATTTTCATAAAAATTTATAGTTAGGTATATAATATATTACTGATATCCAGTTAATACCTACTTAGAATTCATACTTTTACAAGCTGGATTTTTTTTATAGAATAGGGTGACAAACGAGCACACAGTCCACCTGATGGTAAGTGGTTACTGTGGCCCATAGACATCTACATCTATCCTCTATTACAAATCAAAATACAGATGCGTTTTTACCCATGAGGACTAAGATAGAATTTGCCTTGTTTCCAGTAAAAAGAGTCTCTGGTTCTCTACACTCACCATACAAAACACAGCAGCATTAAGCTACTAATATATACTGGTATTCTGTGATTGTGGTCCTTCCCCGGTCGAGCCGACCCCATTTGTGCTAAAACTATACTACCCATATAACTGTAGCATGGCTCTAACACGTATAAATTTAAGTACAATGGATGAAAGTAATAAATTGACTAACCTGTTCCACTACACCATGAGCTATTTCATCGTCGGTAAGCAAGCACGGGTATGAGTATTGAAGTTTTCAGCCTTTATTGTCCAACTGATATTTATGAAAATGCTTTTACAGACATATTTGACAAGTAATTGTTCTTTGGAGAGTCAACTGAGCAGTGAATTTGAAGGCACTTTGAAAGACATCAACAAGTTTCTTAAGTTATTTTCCTTAGCGAAACTAAAAAGCCAATGCATTTCACTTGTTGCATTGCAACCACCAACATATCACTTTAGGGGTAGGTAGCACGGAGCTCATAGGGAGGAGGAAAATGTACTTTTATATGTCCAGGACCATAACTCAGCATCAATGCGATAAAATATATACACAGTACAGATAATAAGTAACTATAAATATGTTCAGAACAATTATTTTCCGGGGTTTTGTCCAGTTTTGTCAAGGTGGACTGTAGCTTGCTACATATTTATTTATCTATGGTGGACTTGTAGATGTAGACAATAGACACGTCGATCTAATATCGTTAATTTAAAAATCGATTCTTTGGAGTAAAATTATCGATTTTTTAGACCGATTCGAAGCACCGCATCGATTCACTGAATCGATCCAAAAACCAATTGAATCGGACTGATTCATTTGATTCAAGAAATAGCTAAAATTCCCAAACTGGCTGGGGTAAGGTACCACAGTTTTTTAATTTTTTGCTGTTGGGGGACGCAAAAACATTCGGTCGTACTTGGTTGATAATTTGAAAGCAATATATATTTGAATAAAATAAATGTTTACGAACGCATCCAACAATATCGAAAAGTTGTCATTTCATTTTCTTTTCTAAAATTCTTAAGCCCACTTTCCACTAAGGGATGTAATGTAATTTAATATTACATCTCGAGATATCAATTAATATCGCTCACCGTACTTTTAAATAGAACCGTTTCCACTGAGGTGTAATATATATTACATCCCAAACCATAAATATTTTTCGATCGGCCGAGCGATATTTTCACATTATATTTCACCTCCTGTACTATAATATAATATTATAGCTTTGAACCTGTTTGAACAGTGAACTTGTGAATTTACTTTATTTACTATCAAAAACATAGATACTGTGAGCTGTAAGTACAGACAGAGTACTTTTTAAATACCTAGATACTGAAAATAAATATTATATGTTGACGTTTATAGTAAGAAAATAACCAGTATTGCAGTATTGTGTTCGTGTAGCGTTCATTTCAATTTGATAAAAAGTGAGTTATTAGATTGAAACAGATTTATCGAAAAATGTACGTTGCAGTTTGCACTTTTGTAAAATTATTGTTGTTGTTTTTAGCCTAAAATGTCAAATAAAAGTGTTATATTTTGTAAAAAAAAGGGATCGAGTGGAGTATGTGCGAACCACTCCTAATACAAGCGTTTCAAGCTTACCAAGAGTGGTTAAAAGGAATATTAGTAATGTTAATCAATAAGATAACTAATATTTTATTTAAAAGAATATTACAGTTTAGAAGGTAAAGAAAAAAAATCGAAAATTCTTGAAATGCCATGTTTGAAAATGTCGCGATTAATCGAAAATCGATCTTTTATTCCTCGATTTAATCGATAATCGATTCAAGTCCCTTCGATTCAAATCGATTCAGAGATCAATTTTTTTAAGAGTGAATCGACATGCCTAGTAGACAAGCAATTGCTATATTGTTTTATTAACTGGCTTTACGGCTCTGGGTTTTAGCCCTTCTGAGCCTTTCTATTAAACATGTCGATTCACTCTTAAAAAAAAAAACGATCTCTGAATCGATTTGAATCGAAGGTGTTTGAATCGATTATCGATTAAATCGAGGATTAAAAGATCGATTTTCGATTAATCGCGACATTTTCAAACATGAAATTTCAAGAATTTTCGATTTTGTTTAACTTCTAAACTGTTTTTCTTTTAAATAAAATATTAGTAATCTTATTGATTAACATTACTAATATTCCTTTTAACCACTCTTGGTAAGCTTGAAACGCTTGTATTAGGAGTGTTTCGCACGTACTCCACTCGATCCCTTTTTTTACAAAGTGATTCCACGTAACACATTTGACATTTTAGGCTAATACTATATAATAACTATACTACGCTAATACTTTAACAGAAGTGCAAACTGCAACGTACATTTCTCGATAAATCTGTTTCAATCTAATAACTCACTATTTATCATGAAATGAATGCTACACGAACACAATACTGGTTATTTCCTTACTATAAACCTCTATAAACTTCAACGTACGGTATAATATTTATTTACAGTATCTAGGTATTTAAAAAGTACTCTGTACCTACAGCTCACAGTATGTATATTTTTGATAATAAATAATGTAAATTCACAAGTTCACAGTTCAAACAGGTTCACAGCTATAATATTATATTATATTATAGTACAGGAGGTGAAATATAATATGAAAATATCGCTCGGTCGATCGAAAAATATTTATAGTTTGAGATGTAATATACTCGTATATTACATCTCAGTGGAAACGGTTCCATTTAAAAGTATGGTGAGCGCTATTAATTTACATCTCGAGATGTAATATAAATTACATTATATCCCTTAGTGGAAAGTGGGCTTAAGAATTTTAGAAATGAAAATGAAATGACAACTTTTCGATATTGTTGGATGCGTTTGTAAACATTTATTTTATTCAAATATATATTGCGTTCAAATTATCAGCAGCAAAAAATTAAAAAACTGTGGTATCTTACCCCACCCAGTTCGGGAATTTTAGCTAGTTCTTGTATCAAATGAATCAATCCGATTCAAGAGGTTTTTGGATCGATTCAGTGAATCGATTCGGTAATTCGAATCGATCTAAAAAATCGATAATTTTGCTCCAAGAATCAATCTTTCGATTAATCGATTTTAAATAGACATGCCTACTTTCTATATCTGAATTTAAATGTTACTATAGATAAATAGACATGTAGCAAGCTAACTGATATACTCCTATTTCATATTTCAGGTACAAAGATACTCTGTGATTACAGTATCCCGAATCCAGTGTTGCCAACATTTAAATCTAGCTCCCGTTGTAGAGAACACTATAATCCCGTCAAAGCCCTCAAGTAAGGTAGACACTAGACAAGTGTCAATCATTCATTGTATTGCACATTTTTTCGTATTTCTAAACTAAAAACAATGAATAAATTTATAATTTAATTTTTGCCATTTCCAAATTATTTTTATTTCGAAAACAAATCTAAAAAAACATAAATTTTTGTTGTCCTGTTAAAAAATCCGTTAGCTGTTAAACACAATTTTTCCCGTTGCATCTTGCATTTTTAGCTACTTTATGTAAATCAATCAATATAGTGGGGCCGCCACAAAAATTTAAGCATTATTAATAATAATTCTAATGATAGCTATAAAGGAAATACTAAAAAGGAAATCATATTCTATTAAGCAAGTTTTTGTTATATTACATGTTATTGTATTTATTAACTACATTAAAAAATACATATGCATACATCGACTTCCTGCATGTCTTACCAGGTCGTCGCTCCATCTAGTGGGGGGTTGAACTACACATTGAATAAAACTAGTTTTACGGACCTTTTAAGACCTATCCGCGGGGAGACACTATTGAGGTCATTGAGCATAGTGCTTAAGTCCTCCAGCGATTCTACCATAAGGACTATTGTAATGTAGGAAGAATGTCAATGAAGGAGACGTGTGGTTGGTACTAAAACTTTAATTAGACTGCTCATTATTCTACCTTAATTAACACTAAAGTATATTAACGTGGGAGCACTACACTACATCTCCCACCGACAAAAGAATAAAAAAATATGCTCTCTATATTTTTTTATCAATTCTTAAAATAGATCCTTAAGATTATTCTAAAAAAGGGCAGAACAACGTCTGCATGGCAAGCTAGTATATTATTATTATATATTATAGTATTCTCTTAATCCTCATGTTCTTTTACATTTCAATATTTTATTTTATTCTTTTTTTGTCATATATTTACTTCATTCTTAGTTAACCATTATTTATTTTCCATTTTTATCCATACCTAGCAATTTGGCTATTCATTACATATTTGTGTCATTTCTTTCACGTACACGGTTCTCGTACATATACGACCAAGAATATGACCAATATCACTTAATTCACTTCTTTTCCTTTCAACTCATGTAATTCATTATTTAATTGTACCATAACTTTCACGTATACGGCTCGCGTACATAGGTACACGATCAAGATAATGGAAAATATTCCTATATAATTCATAATAAATTATCATTTCCCTCATTAGAAATACATTAAAACTTATTCCGCATTTAATCGTGTCCGAACAACCTTAAAAAATTAATCGTTTGTTAGGTTTTCCAAACTTTCAGCTGATCAGACTGATTGTATGTGGATATGCTAACCTCCGATAATTTTCTTTATCTTATTCTCACTATTATACATTATCAATATGTTCATTTATAATTATGTATTCCGTAACATAGCCATAAATTTAATTATATATCTTACTTTATATCATAAAATAGATTCGTGTAATATTTAGTTACAGTGTCAGTCAGGGATTGAGGCTCACAATATGGATACAGTAAAACTTAAATCAATTAGTTGTGTACAACACTATACAGTGAGGGTCAAAATCGTATTCATCATCATCATCATCATCATTACAGCCTTTCACAAGTCCACTGCTGAACATAGGCCTCCCCCAAGTAACGCCACAAAGCACGGTCCTGAGCTACCTGCATCCATCGACTTCCTGCATGTCTTAACAGGTCGTCACTCCATCTAGTGGGGGGTCGCCCTACACTACGCCTACCGGTACGAGGCTGCCACTCGAGAACCTTTCTTCCCCATCGGTTATCGGTTCTTCGAGCTATATGGCCGGCCCATTGCCACTTCAGCTTACTAATCCGTTGGGCTATGTCGGTCACTCTGGTTTTACTGCGGATATACTCATTTCTGAGTCTATCACGCAGAGAAACTCCGAGCATAGCCCTCTCCAT